AGGTCTCTTTCCTTTCCATATAAAGTTAGTGATCATTTTTTCCATATCTTCTATGGACTTTTTGAAAGCAGAAGTGAGATATTTGTGGAAAGTAGATAAACTGAATATATCAAAACCTTCTTATTGTGTGATACATTTTTAAAAATAGCTATTGTTTACCCTTATTACAAAACAACTATATATTTAGTGATGAGAATTTTGGAAATATAAACTAAAGTGAAAAATCACTCATATTTTCACATTCTAAAGATAACTATTGTGAACTTTTATTGTAAAGCCTTTATTAATAACTATAACAGAAATAGCTACTGAACAGAAGATTTCAAAGGATGGCTCAAGAAAACAAAGTAGAGTATTATCATGAGATGTGCAAAGACCTGGAGTTAGAAAATCAAAAGGGAAGAACATGTTTGGCATTTCTCAAGTTAAAAGAACTGAAGAAAAAAATTCAAGCTGTGAGTTGCAGTATTGAAGAATTCTATGGGCAAAATACTGAGCAAGGTAGGAAGTGTCAAAACAAGATACAGTCATTGTATCAAAAAAAATTGGGTTGATGTTCCACAATTTCAGGACATAGCATACGATCAAGAGTTGATGGTACTTTTAGTTTTGTGTATTTCACTGTACATAAATTATATTTCAATAAAATGTATTTAAGAAAAAAAAGAACTGATGGTACTAAAGGAAGAAGTCAAAGCTGTACTGAAGGCATTGGCAAAAAGCAGGTCTCCAGGAATTGACGGAATACCAATTGCGATGTTTCAACTGTGGTTGCAGCACTGAAAGTGCACACTTGTCTATGCCAAGAAATTTGGCCAACTAACTGGAAGACATCCATATTTGTGCCCAATTACCTTTCCGAAGAAAGGTAATCCAGCAGAATGCAGAAATCATTGAACACTATCATTAATATTACATACAAGTAAAATTTTGCTAAAAATAATTGAAAAGTAATTGCAGCAGTATAACAACAGGGAACTGCCAGAAATTTCAAGCTGGATTCAGAAAAAGATGTAGAGTGAGGGATGTCATTCCTGATGTCAGATGGATCTTGGCTGAAAGCACAAAATGCCAAAAAGATGTTTTCCTGTGTTTTGTTGCCTGTGCAAAGAATTTGTGTGGATTATAACAAATTACGGATTACATTGGGAAGAATGGAAATTTCAGAACGCTTTATTGTATGCATGCAGAACTATGACACAGACCAAAGGCATTTGTTTGAACAGAACAAGAGGGTACTGCATGGTTTAAAAATGGAAAGGTGTGCATCAGGATTGTATCCTTTCTCCATACTTACTCAATCTGTATGCTGAGCAAATAATCCAAGAAGCTGGACTATATGAAGAAGAACATGGCATTAGAATTGGAGGAAGACTCCTTACAACCTGAGATTTGTGGGTGACACAACTTTGTTTGCTGAAAGTGAAGAGAACTTAAAGCACTTACTGGGGAAAATCAAAGACAACAGTCTTCTGGGTAGATTATACCTTAAGATAAAGGAAACAAAAATCCTCACAACTGGATCAATGAACAATATCATAATAAACAGAAGAAAGATTGATGTTGTCAAGGGTTTCATTTTACTTATGTTCATGATCAGTGCCCATGGAAGGAGCAGTTAAATCAAATAACATATTGCATTGGGCAAATCTGTTGCAAAAGACCTCATTAATGTGTTAAAAAGGAAAGATGTCACTGTCAGAACTAAAGTACACCTGACCCAAGCCATGTTATTTTAAATCACCTCATATGCATGTAAAAGCTAGACAATGAATAAGGAAGACTGAAGAAGAATTGATGCCTTTGATGTTGGTGAAGAATATTGAATATATCATGGACTGCCAGAAGAACAAACAAATCTGTCTTGGAAGATATACAGCCAGAATGCTCCTTAGAAGGAGAATGGTGAGACTTTGTCTCATGTACTTTAGACATATTATTAGGAAGGACCAGTCCCTGGAGAAGGGCATCATGGTTGATAAAGCTGAGGGTCAGCAAAAAAGAGGAACTTTCAGGGAGATGGATTGACACAGTGGCTACGACGATGGGCTAAAACATAGCAGTGATTATGGGGATGGAATGGGACCAGACAGTATTTCATTCTGTTGTATGTAGGATTGCTATGGGTTGGGCCAGACTCAGTGCTACCTAACAACAATCATTT